CAGAGCCACTCTCACACTCCAAATCCCTTAAATCCAGAGTCTGCATCCCAACCCTCTGTCCCAGTCTGGTGAAAGTGAGAGAGGATGGGGTGAGCAGAGGTGGGGCCTCAAGAAGGGGTATAAAGGAGGCGGTGCAAGGGTGTTTGGGTTTGAGAGAGATCTTGGATTGCACTTAAATTCAAAAAGTGATCTCGTTCTTAAAAAGGTTGGCGACCACTGCACTAGACGAAGTTTAATCTAGACTAGGGACAGGCAAAATACTGTCTGCGGGCCAGAACCACCCAGCCAAACTGCCAGATCTGGCCCACAACCCAGCAGGACCTTCAGGTAGACTTCCTGCCTGCCACGCACTGTATGCCACTCAAAGTGTCCAGTTGCTGGGGCTATGGGCATCTCTCACACCGCGCACTCTATGGAGGGTGTCTCCACACTGTCCCCAACACCTGCATGTTCTTGAAGCTCCCGCTGGCCTGGGAGCTGCCTGGGCCATGCTTGAAGTGTAGGCAGCACATACAGGATCCCCAACAAGGGGCACAAGGCGCAGAATGGTGTGCAAGGGCATGGCAGGAAGGGAGCCAGTCTGAGGGTCCTGCTGGACTGCTGGCTGGGAGCCACCTGGGTAAGTGCTCCCAGCCAGAGCTTGCACCTGGCATCTCACTCCAACCCTCTGCCCCCCATTCTACACACCTGCCCCAGGTGTCAAACCCCTATGAGACTCTGCACCCCCTCCTACATCTCTCCTCCATGTCCGAATCCTCTCCTTTAGCCACACCCTCTCCTAGACCCTGCCACTCCCTCCTGCATTTCAGTCTCCTGCTCCAGATACAGCCCCCACTTTCACCCAAACTCCCACCCAAATCCCACACTCATTCCTGAACCCTAATTCCCTTTTGCAGCCATCACTATCCCAGATGCCGCACCTCCTCCATTAATATCATACACGACATGCACTATGCATCTGTCTCTACCCCACACTTGCCCATGCACTCACCTCCCAACATATACGTGAGGTGGTGGTGTTTATTTTAGGTGTTTTATCTTGGATTGTAATTTTATTTTTCTCACATGCTTAAATGTAATTCTTTAGGTAGTGAGTTCTAAAATGCTTAATCTGTCCTGACTGGAGTAGATATTCTTTTGGCAACTTGAAAAAAATATTATCTGAGCGTTTTGTTTTTACTGGTGGAGCACATCAACACATTATCTCGATATTGGTGCACATAATTAATTCTACACATGGATGGAAAAAATTACGGGAACGTCGTGTGTGTCACATAAATCTTTGTGCAATTTAAGTCCATTATTACTTGTCCTCCTTGTCTGCATTGCATTTTTATGGAGTAGTTTAATACCATGCATGATAAATTCAATCTGAATCTGATCATTTCTTTTTGGAATAACAATGGAACGTTACTTAAAGTTCTTAATTCTTGTTTTGTATATAGGTGTGAATGCTTCTTATCTCTTACCAGCTTTACTTTGGAACTTTATAACTCAACTCATCTCTTTTGAACCAATTTAAGAACCTATTTAGTTAAATCAGTAAACCTCCTAATGTGGACATGCGTATCTATTTTAAGTACTTATAATTTTAGCTTGCATTGCCATAGCTAAAAGCACTTGTAAATTATGTGTCTGCATCAATTTTATCTAAATTTATTTTTAAACCAGTCTAGGAACTAAATGGCGTACAGTTTTTGGACCAATTTAACTAGTTTTATTTTTTAAATGGAAATAATTGGAGGTCAAAAACTGGTATTCACTTGGAGCTTTTCCTTGCAATTCCTTGATTGTAGCAGTAGGTGAAAGGTTTAGAAGTTAAGCCTGCATGTGTGGTTTTTCTTTTTCTGTTTCCTGAATAATATGTATTTTCTACCTTCTCCTTCCTTACTTGTGACTTTTTAAGAGTATAGTAGAAAATTGCTATTTTAATTAGTTATTTATTGTCCATACAATAAAGGCTCCTTCCCTTTATTACTCAAATACATCAGTCTAGTAAGTTACGCTTTCTAAGGTACTATTTTTGCAAAGTATTTTACAATACATTTACTGGTACATGTGTATAAATTACAACTGAAATATTTATTTTTGATTGCTGAATGTCTGATGAATTATACTTGGTTTTTAATTTATGAAAGTCAGGACACCTGCAGGAGGGCTTAAATGTGGAACTCTCCCTTTAGAAATGAGACATCTGATCAAAATGAACCTGCAAAAATCTAGTTTCCATTCAGTTTCCTGGTTGATATTTCTGCATGTTAGGATAACAATTTATTTTGCAGGATGGCCATCAGTGTTCCCTGTAAGCTGAGCTCTTGGGCAGCCACCCAGGAGAGATTCGGGTGCCACCTAGCTCATTTGGCAGAGAGCCTACACATGGCAACGTGTTTCTCTGTTGGTGTACTGCATCTGCATATGCCTCTGGGCACATGACAAAATTTATTCTGCACATGCCTGGAAAAAATTAGAGGGAATATTGATGGCCACCAGCATTGCTGCAAAGGATTCTGGTTTCTTATAACAGGGCCAAAGGAATATATTTTGAGATTACACCCATCCCTGACCCCAGAAATCTGTTTTATTTTAAGAATTACTTTGACACTACAGCCTGTTTTCAAGACGTACAAACTAGTAATACTTTGAAATGTCATTGGTCTAATTTAAATCCCTTTGCATTGCCCTGTTTAGGAAAGATGGGAAACTATTAATCTGTTTATCAGCAGTCATCTTTGAAATCCCATCAGTTAATGTGCACAGAGAAGGATTTTCCTGAAGAGATAAATGTAATGACCATAATTAGTTTTTATTATCTCTGCTGGAACTTTAAGGTGTTCAGAGGCCTCACAGTGAGCTTTTGTTGAACCTAGGGCATGACTGGCAAATAACAAGAGTTTGGTCCAGGACTGACCAGGTGTAACACTCATTCCATTACTTTTGAGAAATTCTATCCCTGTGAGAGGGTTTTTTTTTTTAATTCTTTTTGAACTGGACAAACTGCCTTGGAGAGCCAGTGTGCAATGAGGAGTGACTGGTATGAAAAGAAAAATAATAACTTTGCTAGCTTTTAAGAATGTGTGTGAACTTTTTATTAATAGAGTTGATTTAAAGAAGTGCATGAGTGTCAACACTGGCTGAACAATCTCATGATGCAGAAAGAACGTTTCATTGTAACCACTTATTTACTGGTGCTCTGCACCTTATAGTACTTATTTTTTCCTCTTTAATGGCTGAATAAGGTGTTTATTTCTGCATTACATTGTGCCCAAGTTCTTTAAATGTTAGTCACATGAGCCTTTTCATGATGTTAATGTTTGTTTCTGATTAAACACTTGGGCTTGTGGATTTTAAAGAAGAGCTTTTTTTAAAGTTTTTCTTCATGCAACACTTAAAACATTTGTAAATTCTGGTATCCAGGCATAGGCACAAAGACATGACTTGGATCCATAAGTTGGAAATGTAAAAAAAAAAAAAAAAATTGACTTTGTAAATAATAGCCTTTTATTAAGCATTGTGTATAGAACTTCTTTGTTGAATAGGTAAGACTCAAACTAAGTTTCCTTGTCAGATTTATTTGAATTTGATATTTGTTTATAAGTAATGCAACTTAATTGTGGCTAGCAAAGCTGGAGGATTACTGAAGAGTTGTCTATTAAGGGATTTTATTAAGGACATAGATAAAAGTTTCAATAGTGCTTGTTTCCACTTGTTTCTACAGAAATCGCTATCTTTAGAAGTGATTTCCTCCATATTGAATCCAACAAAACCATAATATTAAAAAAATGAAAGATTGAAAGTGCTTACATTGCTTTTTCTCAGTTATGGTCCTTGATTATGTATTTTATAAGTGTTGAGCAAAACGAGAACAACTTAAGTTTTGATCATCTGTTTTGAAACTATGAAATGATATGGCTTAAAAGAAGTTTACACATTCATGTTGACCCTCTCTAGTCCAGCACACTGTGGTCCAGCAACATCTATGGTCTGTCCGGCATGATTTTATTTAGCCAGGTGTCCACTTATATGTGGATGTGTCCAAGTTTTCCCCAGTCCCATAAAGTTTGTTTGCAGCCCCCCCAGTCCTGGCTCTGAGTGTTCTGTGCTGTTTTGACAAGTTGCGTGTCACTATTTCTTTCATCACAAAGTCTAAAATCACATTATCATTATATGCATGAGGGCTTTGTCTTCAGTACCTTCAGGATACAATATGCAAAGGAACTCCATTCAATTCTCTTATGTATTTAGATTTAAAAACTTGTTTAGAGCACAATTTAGTGTGAAACGAAAAAAATCTGGGGACTTAAATCTGACCACACAAAGTGGAACCACCAGAAGTAAGACATACTTGTTTAGATAATCAAATGGCTTGTGTACCAAAATCCACAGTAATGAAAGGAAAATGTCCTTTAATTTTACAAACTTTGGGTCAGTTTCTAATATTAGCAGTAATGGTGTAAACACAGAAGAGCTTGATGTAAATAAAAAGCTACTCCAGTGTCAGCAGTGGAATTTGGACCATTATTTCAAAATAACATTTTGGATTATTTGGGCTCTTTTTCCTTAGAGTTTGAATTGCAATCAGTAACTTTACATAACTAAAGAACCAATTATTGCTTCTTCCCAGTTCTGGTTTTTCTCTTAGGATTACAGTAATTATGCTAAATTATACATATTTCAAATGGATTTCCAGACTTATATTTACAATACAGAATTAAATTTTTGCAGAAATAATTGCAAAATAATTATTTTCTGCTAAATAATTGCAGAATTAAATTTACTGTTTGCAAAGGACAAACACAAAGCCTGTTCACCTCACTTAATCTCAGTTGAGGATCTTTGGGATAGACTGTCCCACTGGAGTGAACTTCAACGAAGACAAAAATCTTAAACAATTTTTCATGGCAGAGGAGTGAAATACAGATTCTCCCCTCCCCCCCCCCTTGATTGTTGTTGCTTCTTAATGCAGTACTGACATATTTAAGGCGATGTCTGTTCTTTTTCAGAAAACTGAAATGTGGGAGAGCGAGAAGACTGAAGCAGACATGGAGGAGTATATCTGGGAAAACAGCCCCTCTCAGAAGAATGTTTTGGACACACTTCTTCGAATAAGAACTGTAGAGAAAACCAATGAAGTAACTAGGGAAGAGCTGCTTACCTCTGAACTAGTTGAGAATTACAAAACCTCTATCGTTGCACTTAAAAATGAAGGGGAAACAGAAAACAACATTTTGCAGTATAAGGAATCTGTGACAAAACTACTCAATTTGCAACAGTCACTGTGACTGTCACTGCATGCATATATCTGATCTTGTGTCAATATAGAATGATAATGTATGCTAGTGCTACTTCATATGGAATTAAGAAAGCAGTTATTAATGATTTTCTAGGACTTCAACAAAACATTATTAAATTTTAAAAATGTCAAAAACCTTGAATGAATTTAGAGTGATGAAAAACTCAAAAAGGGTCAGCAACAAACTTCCTATGTTTCCATGCAATTGAATTTACTTGTCAGTGAGGAAATCACTGTCCTCCAATATCATTCCTTTCCTCTATAAATAAAATGTATATCAAGTGTTTTTCAGGAAAGCCTTCTGAATATTTAGGGGCTTAAGTATTCTGCTTAAGAGATGCTTACCTGGGACTTCAGAGATCCTGATGCAATTCTTTCCTCTGCCACAGACTATGTAACTTTGGGTAAATAACACAGGGTAAGATTTTTCCAAAGCAGCCACTTGACTTAGTTTCCTAAGTTCCACTGAATTTCAATGCAAATTACAGTCCTGCTACCTAAGTCATTTTAAGAATGAGACACAGAGGGTAGTCTACACAGGAAAGACAAACCCATGGCTGTCAGGGCCAGGCCTCCATCTGAGCCCAGACATTTACACAGCAATGAAACAACCCCCAATACAAGCCCTGTGAACGCAAATTGTCTGGCACAAATCTAGCTGCTATGCAGACATATTCTTAGTATGAATTTGAAAATTCTACTCTACTTTGTCCATCTTGTTTCTGCTTCTGTAAAAATTATGGTAACTATTTTCTACATTTGCGGTCAGGTGGGATGAAAATGGCATTAGAGATTGTGAGCCATATAATGTGGTAATTAGGATTATATAAGCATCTTAGGCTACATCTACACTATAGGGCTGTGTCTACACTGGGAGCCACTTTTCCGGAATAAGCTGTGAGCTGTCTACACTGGCCCTTGAATTTCCGGAAAAGCAATGATGCTCTACTGTACAAACTCAGCCGCTATTCCGGAAACCCTACGCTGTTCCTGCTCGGGCATAAGTCCTTATTCCGGAAAAGCTTTTCCGGAAAAGGGCCGGTGTAGACAGCTTTTCCGGAAAAGCAGAAGAAACGGAAAAAAGCGGTTTGGACGCCGGGAGACCCTGTAGGAGCCTGGAATTCCTGGTAACCCGAGCTCCTACAGAGCTCAGAGGCTGCTGGGCGCCCGTGGCAGGAGCCTGCCGGAGAGCGTGCAGCTTGAGCTCTTTATTCCGGAAAAGCTTTTCCGGAAAAGGGCCGGTGTAGACAGCTTTTCCGGAAAAGCAGAAGAAACGGAAAAAAGCGGTTTGGACGCCGGGAGACCCTGTAGGAGCCTGGAATTCCTGGTAACCCGAGCTCCTACAGAGCTCAGAGGCTGCTGGGCGCCCGTGGCAGGAGCCTGCCGGAGAGCGTGCAGCTTGAGCTCTGGCACGTGGTGCTCTGCTGCCCAAGAGCCACCTCTGAGCCCAGCATGGCAGCGG